ACGAGCATCCGCCAGACGCTCATCTACAACCTCGAGGTCGAGGAGACGGGCGGCAGCGACGACGAGGACGCCACGCTCTCGCCCTACCTCGAGACGGGCGACGACTACCGCTTCCTCATCGAGGTCGAGGAGGGCGGCGAGACGTGCAAGAGCGGCTTCTTCACGATCACCAACTACGCGCCGACGACGTCGCCGACGCCGGAGCCGACGCCCGGCCCGAGCGTGCCGCCGAGCCCCGTGCCGACGGCGCCGACGGTCACGTTCCACCCGCAGCCCGAGCTCTGGCTCGTCGGCGAGACGTACGACGTCACGATCCGCGTCGGCGACTCGCGCCTCGTCTACTCCTACGGCTACGGCCAGAACGGCGCCGTCGTCGACGTCCTGCTCTACAGCGTCGCGCCGTCGGGGTCGTCCTACGTCGACCCGACGGAGACGATCGCCGTCTACCAGGAGCTCACGGGCCCGCGCGAGACGTTCACGTTCGCCGTGCCGTCGGACATCGCCGTGGGCAGCACGTACCAGATCCGCGTCATCGAGTACACGCGGGGCTACGACGTCTACAGCGACGCCTTCACCATCGCCTACGCGGAGCCGACGCCCGGGCCGACGGCCGGGAGCGTGAGCCCGACGCCCGCGCCGACGCCCGCGCCGACGCCCCTGCCGACGCCGAGCACGATCCTCATCAACGTCGACGGCCTGTCCTACGACAAGGGCCAGGCGCTCCTCGCGGGCGTCGCGTACGACCTCACGACGCAGTTCACGGGGACGCTCACCGACGACCTCTCGTCGGTGCGCATCTGCCCCGTCTGGGAGATCGAGGACCACGGCCACTGCGAGCCCGACAGCGACCACGCGCAGACCGTGGCCTACATGGTCGACGACGGCGTCTCCGCGTCGTTCACGCCGGACGCGAAGCTCGTCGAGGAGGGCCTCGTCGTCTTCCAGGTCATGTCCGTCCAGGGCGACCTGGCCTTCACGGGCACCTTCGCCGTCGCCGACCACGAGCCGAGCCCCGCGCCGTCCGCCAAGCCGTCGCCGAAGCCCACGATGTCGGACCCGTCGGCCGCGCCGACGCTCACGCCGACGGCCCGGGGCCTGCACGTCGCCGTGAGCTCGCGGTCCTGGATCTACCAGGAGACGGAGACGATCACCGTCGAGTACACGGGCGCGCCCCTCCTCGACGACGACCTCACGTGCTACGCGGACATCATCATCATCGACGCGGACACGGAGGCCTACGTCAAGACGGTCGTCACGGGCGCGGAGATGGTCGACTGCAAGATCTCGCTCACGGTCACGGTGCCCGCGGACGTCTACGGCAAGGTCAAGTTCCGCGCGACGGAGTACACGCACGGCTACGTCGCCGACTCGGAGCCCGTCTACGTGAGCTACACGACGCCGCCGTCGCCCGCGCCGTCGGCCGCGCCCGTGCCGCTGCCGTCCGCGCCGCCGAGCGCGTCGCCCCACTGGTCGCCGACCGTCGCGCCGACGGCGTCGACGCTGTCCGTGGCCTATGTTTCCGACTCGGACGACTGGATCGCCCAGAACGGGACCGTGGCCTTCACGTTCACGTACACGGGCGACCTGCAGAAGCTCAGCGGCCGCGTGACGCTGCGGCTTTGCGAGGGGTCCGCGGCGCCCTACAACGGCCCGGCCGACGCCTACGACGCCTGCGACGAGGTCGACCAGATCCTCTGGTCCTACCCCATCGACGAGTCGCTCGCGTACGACTACGTGCTCCCGACGACCGTGCCCGTCGGCGACGCCTACTACTTCCGCGTCGACAGCGGCGTCGACCGCACGGAGGACGGCGACTACAGCGCCTACAGCGCCTACACGCTGGGCTACGTCGGCCCGACCTTCGCCGTCGTCGGCGGCGCGCCGACGCCCCGGCCGACGGACGCGCCGACGATCCCGCCGACGTACCCGCCGACGACGACGCCCGTCTTCGAGCCCACGGCGTCGCCCACGACGGCCCCGCCGAGCGCGGCGCCCGTGCCGGCCCCGACGGTCGGCGTCCTCCTCGACAGCGCGCTCTGGTACAAGACGGACGAGCCGAGCAAGGACTGCGTCTGGGTCTCCGCGTACTTCGACGCGGACAACGACGACTACGTGCGCTGCGACGTCAAGGGCTGGGACGGGACCTTCGCGTACGAGTCCTGCGCCCTGACCTGCGCGGACTACGACTCGAGCAACCTCTAAGCCCCCCCGCGAGCCCGCCCACTCTCCCCGCGGCCTCCGTCGTCGCGCCCCCGCCTCCCTCCCCGCCCCGCCCGCTCCTCCCGCCTCTTCTCTAATTCACCTTCGTGTATTGCGAACGTTAGACCGCCGAGGTACCCCGCGAACCCCCCCGGATAAGCGGCACAGACGAATGTTAGATCGCCTCGTACGTGAACGAGTCGCCGGCGGGCACGAGGACCGCCTCGACGGGCGCGGCGCCGTCGTCCTCGCGCGCGTCGCAGCAGGCGATCGGGCCGCAGAACGACTGGAGCGGCGTCAGCGGCGGCGGCGGCGGCGGCGGCACGCGCTTCTTCGGGCCCTTGGACGACGGGCGCTTCTTCTTCTTGACGCTCGGCCGCGCCGCGCGCGAGACGCGCGCCTTCTTCTTCGGCGACGGCGCCTCGGCGTAGACGTCCGCGTCGACGGCCTTGGCCTCCTCGTCGACGTCGACGTCGTCCCCGCCCTTATCCGCGAGCTCGACGCCCGTCTCGGGCGCCGTGTCGGCGTCCTGGCCCAGGGCCGCCGTCGTCCAGGGGATGAGGATGAGCCCGCAGTACGCGGCCACGCCGCACGTCGCGAGGAGGATCCACATGCGGTAGAGGCCCTCGACCGTGCGGTCGCAGAGCGCCTTGTAGAACAGGTCCTCGACGATGGGCTGGATGTAGGCGCAGGAGAGCACGTCCTCCGTGATCTCGTCGACGGAGGCCTGGAGGTCCTCCGTCGCGGCCTCGATGGCGTCGAGCGCGTCCGCGACGCCCGTGCACACGCCCGTGGCCTCGAGCTCGTCGGCGTACGTCGCGAGCGACTCGACGGCGTCGTCGAGCGACGTGACGTCCGTCTCGAGGGGGTTCGTGCCTAAAGATCGTGGGTCGCCGGCCCAACAAAGAAGCGAAGGACGCCGCGGTCGCGCCCTCGCACCGGAGGTAGTACGCGATGTACTGGTTGTCCTCGTTGTCCGCCGTCAGCACGGCCGCGGGGCCGACGTAGCAGAAGTCGCTGAAGGCGACGGAGAGCACGAGGAGGACGACGAGCACGACGAGCGCCACGGGGAGGCCGACGGCGCCGGCCCAGATCGCGCCCGTGTTCATGCAGCACGACGCGGACACGGGCGCGCGCGACGCCTTGGACACGCCGACGCCGCAGAGCGCGAAGAGCACGTAGAGCGCGAAGGGCGCCGCGAGGGCGACGGGCACGACGAGCCGGACGTAGCGCCGGCCGTTGCTCCGGACCTGGTCCTCGGCCGTGTCGACGGGGTCGATCATGTCGTCGAAGATGGCCGCCACGTCCGCGACGCTCGCGTTGACGTAGCTCACGTCGTCGAGGTAGTCGTCGAGCTCGCTGCCGGAGCACTCGATGCTTGAGGCCGCCTCCGTGATCTTGCCCGTCGACTTGAGCATGTCGGCCGTCACGTCCCCGAGGTGGCCGAGGAAGTCCTGGAGCGTGTCGAGCGAGTCGGCGACGTTCGACACGCCGCGNT